AAAAATTTTTTTAATTTTTTTGTACTTTATTTTTAATTCTTTTAATTTTTATGTTTATTTTTTATTTAATGTTATTTATTTTTATTATTTTTTTTTAATTTTTAATTTTGATTATTACTTTTTTTTAAATTTTATTATTATTATAGGATATTATTGTTGTTGTTGTTGTTGTTGTTGTTTAGAATTCAGTGACAGCAAATAAGATTAAGGAATGTGAAGAAATAGCACTGGAAATCATCAAAGCCAATCATCCGGTTTATGCTAAAGAAGCACCACTACCAATTGTTAAGGAGATAAAAGGACTTCGTGTTATCAATGCTGAGGTTAGTTATCATGAACCAGTAGCAGCATGTGTGATTGTACTAGACCTTGGGCTAAGTGAGTGAGACAGCATTATGAGCTTTCAAGCACTAGGCTGTATGCCTTTTTGGAGTAACTTTAAAAATTTGTAAAAAATCAGTTTTGTTCAGAATCAACTCAGACTTGCTACATAACATAAAAAATATGTATATGTATTAGAAAAAATTTTAAAATGAAGAATTATCTCCTTGACGTTTTCAGCAAAATTTGGCTCAATTTTTGAGCAAGTTTAAAAATTCATTAAAAATTCAAAATTGATTAGAATGAGCTAACACTTGAAACACAACATAAGAACATGTATATATATTAGAAAAAATTATAAAAATGAAGATTTCTCTCGGAGCCATTTTTGACGAAATTTGGCCTTAAACCAAAGGCTATAGCCCATGGTTTTTGGTCAAATTTTTGAGTAACTTTAAAAATTCATTAAAAATTCAAAATTGATTGGAATGAGCTAAAACTTGAAACACAACATAAGAACATGTATATGTATTAGAAAAAATTATAAAAATGAAGAATTCTCTCGGAGCCATTTTTGACGAAATTTGGCCTTGAACCAAAGGCTATAGCCCATGGTTTTTGATCAACTTTTTTAGTAACTTTAAAAATTCATTAAAAATCCAAATTTGATCAGAATCCGCTCAAACTTTCTATAGAACATAAGAACATGTCTATGTATCAGAAAAAAATTATAAAAATGAAGAATTCTCTCCTTAACATTTTAAACAAAATTTGGCCCAATAAAATTTTTACAAATTCTTTACAAATTTTAAAATTTGTAAAAAAAATTAATTTTAATTGGAGTTTGCTTAAACTTTCTACACGATATAAAATCATGTATATGTATTAGGAAAATTATAAAAATGGAGAATTCTCTCGTATTCATTTTTGACAAAATACCATGGATCAATTTTTTCTACAAAGGTCTACTGGGCATGCTAAACAGCACACCTCATGAGCTGGCATGGCAACTCAATTGGCTTAATACAACCACAATTATGTACATGTAATTATCATTATAATTATGATTGCAACTATAATTATAATTATGATTGCAACTATAATTAACCCCAAGTCTTAATTGTAACACTTACAGATTTATCCTAACCCAGTCCGTGTGTTAAGTATTGGTGTACCAGTTGATAAACTAGTGGAGGATCCTTCAGGTCCCTGGGGGACTGAATATTCAGTTGAATTTTGCTGTGGAACGTGAGTGGTTGAATATTACTAGTTTGTATATTATTTATTTGTATTCATAGTCACCTTAATTTAACTAGTCATATTGACTCATTTGTCATTGTTTCAGAGGAAGGATCAGGTGAAGGTTTTAGACGCATTGTGGCTTTGACTGGTACTGAAGCTATTAAGGTTTAATTACACATTGGCCCTATTCCTCTTTATTATTTTAACTTCAGGCTCATGAGCGTGCAGCTGTTGTACAAGAAAGGGTGAGCAAGCTCTGCTCTGATGTATTTAGGGACATTGTAGAAAAGACTATAACTCCACAAGAAGCCAGAGAACTTATTGGGAAGGAACTATTTGTAAGTCTAATATTGATAAGATCTATGCATGTAATTAATTAATCATAATTTGTATCAATAGTTTATGATTAAAGTGTCATTCACTTGGAAATGATTTACAGTCATTTACACGTACTAGGTTCTACAATCTGATGTGATATCTAAATGGAAGAAAGTTGAGTTACAAAACAAGCTCAATACAGCAAAGAAATCAACCAAAAAAGCTAAAAAAGTCATGCTAAACTTTGCTGCTGAAAAAGTAAATACGAAATAAATATTTGTCTCTTTTTATTTACACATATATTATTGTTTAGTGTAATGGTCATATACAAGAACTAGTTGGACAGTTTGATAAAACTAATCCTCCTCCATTTGTTGTAGAAAAACTTGAAATTAAAGGCTCTTCAATGGTAAGAGGACTACATGTAGCACTACAGTCAAACCTGTCTATTCCGGACACCTTGGGACCAAATAAAACTGTCCTTATTATAGAGGTATCCTTATTTCAGAGGTTCATTAATACACATTTATATTGTATTGGGACTGATACTACCTGTCCTGATTATAGAGGTGTCCTTATTTTAAAGTGTCCACAATAGCAGGTTTCACGTATCTATGTATCTATGTACACAGGTTATACGTGCTGCTATGTATGAATTCAAGTCACTAGCTCCATCAATACCAGCAGTGCTGCTAAGTGTGGATCACGAAAATGATAAATTCATTTGTGTAGCATCTGTACCAGAAGTGAGTAGAATTTAAGTTAATCTATAATTGTTTCCCTAGTGCATTTGTTCTTTTCAATTAATTTTAAGTATGTTTAAACTTTTATTTCATTAATTTTAGGGTGCTGTAGCTAAAGGTTTGAAGGCCAATGAATGGTTACAGTCAATTTCAAGCACTATAGATGGTAAAGCAGGTGGAAATGAGAATTCTGCGTCAATCTCTGGAACTAATTTTGACAAATTGTCTAATGCAGTTGATGTTGCTAAACAATATGCACAAGAATTCTTTAGTTGCGACATAGGATAAATTAGATCTAGATCTTCATAATAATAATCATTTTGTGGGAAAGGGCGTGCCTTGCTTGATCATTATCAACATCGTAGATATTATTAGAGTTAAAAAGAAATGTTTCCTTTTAACTCTGATATCTATGTCAACATGAAGCTCAACACCAAGAAGATTGCTCTGTATCGGGCGATTTTGGGGCTACTTTTTGTAAGTTTTGTTTGTATGCATGGTTGTTAGATCATGCATGAGTGCGCTGGAGCTTGGCATTTATATATAGCTTCAAATCTAAATTGCTGCCAATAATTTACAGGCAATGCAGCAGCATTATACTCAGCGTACTTTTAGCCAGTCACTTCAATACTTTTTGTCTATTCACCTATAGTTTCCCTGCTGCTTGTCTCATTATGTTTTGGAGATAAGAGCCGTGAGATACCAAAACCCAACTGACGAAGACTACAATGGTGGATCCTGTGACACAATATTATTTCCAAACTGCGATGTTTACTTTTATTTTTGCATCAGAAATATCCATCTGAGCCCATCAAATACCCATAACTGTTGGGACTCCATTACAACTTCATCTTCGTTTGAAGATACCGATAGGTTATTTCCAACAACAGGTCAACTTTACCAAGGAGCTAATACTCAAAATCCGTTAACATTCACAAGCCACAATGCATGGCCAGTAAGTGGTAGTTCATTTAGATTTTTTAACTTTCATAAACATTTTTGTAATTTTAGGGCTCATTTCAGTTATTAGTGTCTAGCATCGACGATGATATTAACAGTGATGATTTGATTGATCGCAATGCATTCAATCTCAATATTACTCCAACAGATAGCTGGTCCAGCCTCATCACAACTAGTGGGCATTACAACAAAGTGACATTTACAATACAAGTTCAATTATCATGCATTACTGGATGGACTGGGAATGATTGTGAACAGTGCATACCAAGAGCAGGCTGTTGTAAGTTGCTATGGAATCAATTATATACATAATTACATGCAACACAATGTTTTTTTTTATTTCATAACAATTGAATGCATCCGTGAATGCAATATTTAGCATTTGAATTAGCTTATTTTTATAATTTTTTCTCCTCTGCTATAGCTTCAATCAATGGAAGATGTACACTGCCAGGGGAGTGCATTTGTGATAATGGATACACTGGAAGTAATTGCACTCAACCTATAGCTGCTACAACTACAAGTTCCTCCATAACATCATCTACAACTAAGTATATACCATCTAATACAAATATCGCTACACCCACACCATTTAGCAGTGCAGCAGCAACAATTTTTCCATCTAGTAGCACATTGACACCTTCAACTAACCCTCAATCTGATGAAAGCAATGTAGTTACAATAGCTGGAGGAGCAGCAGCTTGTGGAGTTGTTATTCTCCTTATCATTGTGCTTGTTATCATTGTTAGCTACTGTGTTATTAAATCTAAAAATAAAGGTATAAAATATAACATTTTTTTACTACTTAATATTACTTTTTAGAGAAAATGAAAGAAGCCCAAAGAAACGAAATGCCTGAACCTTTCAACAAAAATTTGATGTATATGTCTCCTGAAGTTTTGGACGACAAATACACTAAGTGATTTAACTGCTGATAGTTTTTTATAGTGCTGCTAGCTACATTATCCTTAATTGACTCTTAGTTTTGATATAGTCTTCAAATAGATGCTTAATTTTGTTAGCCAGTTGTTGTTGTTGTCTCACATGCAATCCAGGGTTTCTCACAAAGCATGCTAAGTGAGCCTAAGCACTAATACACGGCTTTTTGAGCAACTTTAAAAATAAAAAAACACTTTCGATTGGAAAAACAAAATCTCTACAGTATATGCATCAGCGAAAATATAAAAATGGAGGGTTCTCTCCTTTTAAATTTTAGCAAAATTTGGCCAAAGACCATTATTTTGCCTCTATTTTTGAGTAAAAAATTTGTAAAAATCCAATTTTGATTGGAATTTGCTCAAACTTTCTACACAACATAAAAACATGTACCAGTATAGATCTATATATCAGAAAAAAATTATTAAAATGGAGAATGTACTCCTTGATATTTTTGATAAAATTCCTCATGAGCTGGCATAAAACCATGAATGTCACACTTACATCTACATGTGTACAGTGTAGTATGATCATGTAGGTAGGTTGAGAACATCTCTGTGATAAGTCAGTAGTCAATGCACTATGGTGACTCAATTGGCTTAAGCCTCAATTATAATTACAATTACAAAATTACAAAACAAGGATCAATGCAGCAAAGAAGTCTACTAAAAAAGTCATGCTAAACTTTGCTGCTAAAAAAGTAAATAACAAGAAATATTTGTCCCTTTTTATTTACACATTATTATTGTTTAGTGTAATGGTCATATACAAGAACTAGTTGGACAGTTTGATAAAGCTAATCCTCTCCTCCATTTATTGTAGAAAAACTTGAAATTAAAAGCTCCTCAATAGTAAGACAACTATAGCACGAAATTTATCTTGTTAAAAATTTTAATAAGCTTAATTGGTAAAGTACACAAAGCTTATTATTTGAATGTCTGTATCTATGTACACAGGTTATGTGTGCTGCTATGTATGAATTCAAGTCACTAGCTCCATCAATACCAGCAGTGCTGCTAAGTGTGGATCACAAAAACGATAACTTAAGTCATTTGTGTGGCATCTGTACCTGAAGTGAGTAGATTTGCATAAGTATTGCCGTATTTTAAGTATTACATTTGTATTATATTATATTATATTTGCCGTATATAAGTATTTTCCATAGTATTGCATGTTAACCTTTTATTTCATTGATTTTTTTGTGAATTACTACTAGGGTGCTGTAGCTAAAGGTATGAAAGCCAATGGATGGTTACAGGCAATTTCAAGCACTATAGATAGTAAAGCAGGTGGAAAGCACAAACATTTTTTAGTTGTGACATCATAACATAAGGTAAAAAATAATCATAATTACATTTACAATTCGCCAATGCACACGGGCAAATTAACGTATACGTTACTTTTCTATCCTTACCATAGGCGCCGGAACAGGGGGGGCAGAGGGGGCTAAAGCCCCCCCAGTCTTGAAACAGGAGGGGCTGAGCCCCCCCAGAAATTCTCTGCAACTGACTAACAAAGAAAATAAAACTGACTTTTATCAATAAAATTAGACCTGCAGTCATCATCTCTTCATTTTATTTAAAGAAAAAGACAAGAAAACTACTCTAAATCCAACAATAGAAGATTAGAACCATTTTTTGTAAAATTAGCAGCCATTTTTGTATAAAACCACACCCATTTTAATAACTTAATTGATGTTCAGCCCCCCCAAAATAAATTTTGTTCCGCCGCCTATGATCCTTACCTTACGTAAACGGTGGCCATTGGTTTATAGAGCACTTCCTGTCGTAACGTATGCGTTAATTTGCCCGTGTGTATTGCCCTTAAGTGGAGGAGTTAATCTAACACATTTTTGCTCAGCTGGCTGATGCATTCTTTTTGTTGCTTGCAGTTTATATAGCAATAGTCTTAGAACAATGACATAACAAAACAGGCAGTATTTACAATACTATATACTTATTACATATCATTATTAAAGGACATAGTGTCTTGTAATACTTCAGTTAATTGCAGTAATTTTGTGATCGCTAAAACTTGATGTACGAGTGAATTGGTAGGTAGTTCTGGCATTTGTTGATGCAACCGTGTCACTTGTAAATGAGTCGGTGTATGATTTAGGCACAACACAAAAGACTCCTATAGTTTCTCTACCTTTTCTTTCCCTTTCTCTTTGCTTCTTGTTCCGTTTTAGTATGGAGAGATGGAGTATGACAATAAAGCCTGTTATTATCCCTTAAGTACTTATAAATGTGTAGAAAATAGAGGCTATGGAAGTTTTGGTTGTGTAATAATATACCGTAAGTGGAAAGAAAACCATCGCCATTGCTGTGTTAACTATTGGATATGCTACTAGTGGTAGTAACTGCTTGCTAAGTGTTTTCCATTTGTTGCTAAAAGTGGCCAAGAGCAACTCCTCTTGGCTGTCACGCTTTCTTTTGCGATGTAATTTTGATCGTCTGAGTGTCACTATAAAAATGATAGTGACTAGTATTGACATTATGAAGTATAATGACCCAGCTATGCTGTACCCGATTGTGAAAACGACCGATAAATGATTTGCTCCTTCTGTTGAGAATTTAAGACTCAGTGTTTCTGTACAATCGTCATATTTAGTGAAAGGAATGTATACAGCTATAGCAAGTGGGAAGCATGACGTTATGATTGCAATTGGTTCCAATTTCTTATAGTTTTTCAGTTCCTTGAGGCGCACAATACAAATGTAAAGCGTAATGGTTAACCAGAAGTTGAGCACTAGGTTTACACAGTAGGAAATATGCGTGATGGCTATAGCAACTGATTTGTATGTGTCTGAACCATCGTCATACCTAGGAAACATGAACTGGGATAGCGAGTAGATCAACATTGCAATCAGTTTGTACAATATCAGTCTTTGTACAATATCTTTATAGAATCTACTGACTATTGCAAAGACCAGTGCCACTGTACATGTTATAGCTCCTAGACCACCACTGGTTTTTTCTATTATGCTAACTGCTTCCACAATGTCCCAATTGTCACAGATAGTGCTGTTTGCAGTATTGCTATCATCATCCATACTTTTGAATTTAGAGATGGAGAAGAAATAAAGCCTTGCTGCCTTACAGTCACATCTGATGCTAGCTAGCATGGACTACCAAAACTGTTGGCCTATATAAGTCACATACACATCCATGCATTGAATTGCATGTGTGGTGCCACAACTATTATTATATAAACAGCATAAAATACAAATGCATGCATGTGGACATGTATCACAAACAAAGGTAATCAAAATTGCAGTATATTTCTATAGTTAGGCCTAGTTGATAACTAGATCTAGTTCATCATCAGTGACACTTGATGTACGAGTGTATTGGTAGGTGGTACATGCATTTGTTGAAGCAACTGTTTCTCTTGTGAATATATCATCATGGCTGTTAGACATAACACAGAAAGATTCTTGCAACAATTCATTCGTTTTTATTCTCTTCCTCTTTCTTTGTTTTTTCTTACACTTCAGTATACATAGATGTATTATAACAATAATACCAGTTATTAGACCAGAAGAGGTTAATAATGAATAGAAATATGCACCTTCAAAAGTACTGCCACTAAAATAGAGCACTAAAAGTGGCAAGAAAACCATTTCCATTACTGTATTAACTATTGGATATACTACTAGTGGTAGTAACTGCTTGCTAAGTGTTTTCCATTTATTATTAGTGACCAGTAGAGACTCTACTTCATTGTCATCTTGTCTTTGGTGATGTATTTTTGATCTTCTGATTGTTATGGTAAAGATAATGACAAGAAGTATTGATATTATAAAGTATAATATTCCTACTGTAGTAGAACCAATAATAATAGCATAATGATAATTCTTTTTTCCCTTTGTAAATGCAACATGAAATATCTGTGTGCAGTTATCAAAACTAGCAAAGGGGATGTACACAGCTATAGCAAGAGGAAGGAATGATGTTATGATTGCAATTGGTTCCAATTTCTTAAAGTTTTTCAGTTCCTTGAGGTGCACAATGCAAAGATAGAGAACAATAGTTAGCCAGAAGTTGAAAACTAGATTAACACAATAGACAATAACTGGAATAAGTACTGTCAACCCTTTGTATATGCTGGAATCATCATATCCACGTGACATAAACTGAGATAGTGAGAAGATTAACATTGCAATCAGTTTGTACAATATCAGTCTTTGTACAATATCTTTATAGAATCTACTGACTATTGCAAAGACCAGTGCCACTGTACATCCTATGACTCCTAGACCACCAAAAACTCCTTTTATCACAATGATTTTATCAACTGCATCTGTCCCATCACAAGTAGTGGTGTTGCTCTCATTATCATCCATACTGTCTTGTAGCTTATCTTCAGACAAAAGAGGAGCTAGCTAGTACAGTTTTGCTGTCTAATGCACACTCCACAAGATGCTTACACTATTATAGCTAGCTATTATGATAACATGACTATAGAGTAAATGGTCATAATGGTCACAGTTGAATTGACTGGTAAAGTCCAAACTGAAAATTTAGTAATAATTGTATACACAAATGTAAAGAAAAACATAAGCCTGTTTATAATTTGGTGAGTAATATTATAAAGTTATGATTATGTTAGTGAAACTTGATTTATGCATAAGTGTATGTATTAGTAAGTACATGCATGGCTTTGTGACTTGTCTTTACTTTCATTCTCTTCTTTTTGTTTTGTTTCCAGGCTCTTATGCACTTCAATATGTATTAAAAGGTAATATGCTCTGTTAGAAAGGAAATAGTAAGATGTCTCAAAAGAGAATCACCATTGTATTATTAATTATTATTGAATATATCTACTACCAAGAGTGGATAATTATTTAGGGTTTAGTGTCTAACCTGCCTATATACTGTGATACCACAGCGCGTATGTTTACACCCGTTTTTTGCAAGTATACGGAGAAAATCCCAGTAATTTTCAAAAATTATGGGTGTGGTTAATAAAATGGCGCTTGAAGCATGCAGGCAACTTTAAGACTTATTATAAGTCTTAATATCTCCACTCTGAGGATCATGTAGTACGAGAAACAAGCAGAAGCAGACAGGAATATGTTCTTTTAATGGTTGGCTATTTCTTTTTTGCAGCTTTTTGACTTGGAATGAATATAAGGACGCAAGAATGCCTACTTGGTGCTACTGAAGCGGCACCCTCGTAAAGCCTGGTTTACACTCGTCATAACACTATGCGTGAATTGCATTTGCTTTGCGGGAACGTGCTTTTAAATGCACGTTTCGTACAAATTCTATTTCCATTGAACGCATGGCGTAATTTCTAATTAAAGGTGTGTCCGAGGGTGTGTCAAGTTAAAATGGATCCAATGAAGTTGCTGATTATGTTGTTCTTATTTTGGACAATTTATAGACAAAGGAAGAGACAGAGAAAGTTCTGGGTGAGGCATATATATCAAAATCGACTTAAACAAGGAGACTACCACAATTTGATAGCAGAGATGAGACTTATGGATGATGAAGAAGCCCATGTGAGATATTTGAGAGTAACAAAAGAAACATTTGATGTTTTATGCCGTCTTGTTGCTCCATATTTGCAGAAAAGACGAAGTTATACTAATAAAAGACCTCATATCTCACCTGGTGAACAATTAGCTATGACATTAAGGTTCTTAGCGTCTGGTGACTCTCAAACAAGTATAAGTTATTCCTTTCGAGTTGGAAAAGCTTCAGTTTGTCACATAATTTATAAGACCTGTTGTGTTTTATGGAAGGTTCTTCATAAGAAGTACTTACCTTTTCCTTCAACAGAGGATGAGTGGAAGAAAATTAGTCATCAATTTTGGATGTTATGGCAGTTTCCTAACTGTCTGGGAGCTATTGACGGAAAGCATGTACGAATTCAAGCCCCCAATAACAGTGGCTCAATGTTTTTTAATTACAAGGGAACATTTTCAATAGTTCTAATGGCAATCTGTGATGCTCATTATCGTTTTATTATGGTTGACATAGGTGAAGGAGGAAAAGAAAGTGATGGAGGAGTTTTTTCTAATTGTACCTTTGGACAAAGGCTTATGGAACAATCTTTGCAGCTCCCACTACCAAATGCTCTCCCAGGTACTAGTGTTGTAGCTCCCTATGTTTTTGTTGGTGATGAGGCGTTTCCCCTAAGACCAGATTTATTGAGGCCATTTCCTGGAAGTAATCTTTCTGAGAAACAATCTGTCTTTAACTATCGTCTTAGTCGAGCAAGAAGACTTATTGAAAACTCTTTTGGAATTTTAGCTTCTCGATTTAGAATATACAGACAACCAATACATTCATCTCCTGCTAAAGTTGTTGCTTATGTAAAAGCAACCATAGTGTTACATAATTACCTTCGGTTACATGAGTCTCATGTGTACTGTCCACCTTGTTTTACTGATAGAGAAGATAATGAAGGTAATATCATTAATGGAGAGTGGAGAGATAACCATAGTAGTTTGGGTTTAGAGAGGATTGGTAGGACAGGTAGCAATAGAGGTAGCTGGGAAGCAGATGCAGTAAGAGAGACATATTGTAACTATTTTGTTAGTGAAGAAGGTAGTTTGCCATGGCAATCTCATCATGTTCATCGCACTACTTATAATTAAACTATTGATAATAATTTAATCAGTTATTGCTAATTATTATTTAGTAAGTATTAATGATTCTCACTGTTACTCATTATTATTTTACAATAGTTATAACTAATGTAATCCATTAATAATAATAATAATAATGTCTTGTCATAGTTAATGGTACAACAGTTATTAATTAATGTCAATTGATGATACAGGTGGTTGAATTGGTATGTCATACTCAATACTGGTTAAGTACTGCAAAATATAAACCTTAGCCATTGCTCTTTTAGGATTGTCAAGACGTTTCAAATTGCCCAATATTTGCATAACGAAATGATAGTCATCATCAACATCTTTTCCTGTTGCTCCATGAGTACCACGACTATCTGCAAATCCACTAGATATTGTCTTCAGTGTTTCTATAAATACTGCATCAACCTGTTCTTTTTTGGCTTTCTTTTTCAGTGGAGACTTGAATGTACTCACAGATGTAGAAGGACTAGACATGTTACTCAGTGATTGACTATTTGGACTAGGAACAAAGATGGGGCTAATTTCTTGGCTATAGTTAGTTTCTTTAGTCTAAAAATAATTGATAGTAAGTTACTATCATAAATAATACAGTCTTAATTACTGGTAGAACTTGATCTTCACTGTGATCTTCCTGAATTATCTCTGATTCTTCCTCTTCTCCACATTCTGGAATATTACTCTCTGTTCTATTTAATAGTAAAATTAAGTATAGGTTATACACCGAGGTCGAGGTTTCTATGGGATTTATTTACCGAGGGACGCAGTCCCGAGGTAAATAAACCCATAGCAACCGAGACCGAGGTGTATAACAGACTTCTACCATGCCAAATCTGTAGCTAAGAAACTGCCCATGATTAGCAAGGCTTTATAAAAGCACAAGGCCTCTTTACTTCTTTGTATCTTCTTAAAAGAAACGGGAAAATCTCTTCTCCACTCGCGCCATGTGTGTACAGTAAAACACGCCCAGAACACGCCTTTCCAATTCCACTCCACCCATTAAGAAGTTACTTTATCACATGGCCCAATGCTTTTGAGGCTCTATTTCTTTCTTTTCGATGTTCTTTGCTGCTTTCTCTGCTAAAAATGATTACTCCAGATGCCATAACTATGCTTCGAGGTAAATAATTAGAAACCTGTTTGCTCCCGGGCTGTCCGCGAGGTAAATAACTAAGAAAACCTGTTTGGCGACTTTAATAAGTTGGCTATATTTACCTCGGCGAGGTAAATAAGCGATTATATTTACCTCGTAGGACGCAATCTGATTGGTCAATTGCAAGTAGGCATGGTAGAATAATATCTAACCATTATAATAATTTAAGCATTGTAGTAATTTATTTTTATTAGGTAACTCTACCTTTCCTTCCCATGCACATTCATTATCTATACCCACTGAATAATATTTAAAAATTCAAAATGCATATTAGTAACTAGGAGTGGTATATCATAGATATACTATGGGTATATATACCACATATATACATACTTTCTATGACGCACTGTATCCTTGATGAAGGACATAATAGTAAAATAAGACCAGTGTGACTTTGGTGGTGGTCCACCTGTGCCAGTTGGTCTCCTAATCCCTTTACACTCACGAACATAGCGATCTCTCAAGGACTTCCATTTCTTTTTACAATCAGCTACTGACAACTTGACTTCTTTTGCTACAATATCCCATGAGTTCTCTTTCAGGCGACCATCTTTATATTCTTTCAGTTTCATGTTCCATAAGCATGGATATTCTCTGACTAAATTGATAAACTTCTCATCTTTGTCTTCAAAGGTATATTCTGGTGTCGCCATTTTCTTCAGTCTAACACGTGTGTGGCTCAATTTGATTGGTCACACGCCCCAGACGCTAACGCAGAAATGACAGTCATCTAATCTTGCGTGACCTTGTGTTGCAACCACGATCCTGCTATGTTTTTAATTTCCATTCTACGTTTCGTTTACATAACATAACGTAACTACGTAAGAACCGACGTTATGGCGAATGTAAACCTAGCTTTAAAATACATCTATAATAATTGAATAATATTTTTAGTACTGCAACTAGAATCACTGAATAATGATTCAT